AAATCTTTATTCAAATTCAAAAATCATTTATTCATGTAGGACATTTTAGCCGCTTATGAACGTCAAGTTTTTACATTATAATTTTTTTTCCCTACCGTCCAGTTCGGTACAATTGAGAAGAACTGGCAAGAAACTCAATTGAATTACTTTTTTATAAAAGCCAGTTTATTTACAATGCATAGGTATTTATATAGGTGTTTATGTCTAACATTAAATGAAAATCCCGAACAAGAAAACTATTGCCATGCACGCTCGTCATTCAAGTAATCGTTTAGTGAGTAATAGGCTTTGTTCAGTAAACATGATTTAACAGATCTTTTGAGCTTATTTAAGGGTAATTCCAATATATCCTTTGGTATCTTATTGTGAATTTTTATACCTATGCCCATAAAAGACCTATTGACTTTTTCTAAACGATACTTGGGGACAGCAAGTTTGTCTTTAAATCTAGTATTAAGTATTAATACAAATTATGAATATTGCTCTTTTTTGGAAATAAGTCAAGATTTTTATGAACATATAGGATATTTGAATATATAAATTGAGAAACAACGATGAGAATATTTGCCTCTTTTAATGAGTCACGACTTCTCATGTAGTAGATCGCTCGAATGGCACGTTTTTGTAATATTAATATATTTTTAATATCTGCCGCTTTTCCCCATAATAATATTCCATAAGAGAGTAAACTATGAAAATAACTAAAATAGACCAATCTAGCAGTATCAGTATCAGTGTACTGTCTAACCTTACGTACGGCAAAAGCTGCTGAACTCAGTTTCGCTGCAAGATTTTGAATTTGAGCTAGTATTAAAACTTTTAGACAGAGAAAAATTAACACATTTTGTTTTTTTAGCGTTTAATATAAGATTGTTAGTTGTAAACCAGTGCAAGAGACGCCGCAAAGGACTATTTACATCGTCATAATTATTAGTCATTCTATTAACTTTAAAAATCAATAAAGTATCATCTGCAAATAACACTACCCCGCATCTATCCAGCATGGATTTCTATCTATCATTTATGGATACTAGGAATAAAAATGGACCGAGAATAGATCGTTGAGGTACACCCATTTGCACAAGTGACCCGTCAGACGTAGCGCTGCTAACCTTTACTTTTTGTATTCTATCAGATAAATAAGATTTTATTAAATTTAAAGCGTTGTCTTTAAAAAGCAAGTTTTTTCAATGTGTTATGATCAACGCAATCAAAAGCCTTAGAAAGGTCACAAAAAACACCTATCGCATCCATTTTATTTTCCCATGCAGCAAATATGTGTCTGAGCAACTCTGCATCTGCGTCTGTAGTTGATCGACCTTTGAAAAAACCGAATTGACTATTGTGAATTAAATTATTTAAATTGAAATAACTGACAAGTTGCATAAGAATTATTTTGTCAAAAATTTTACTGAGCGCTGGGAGTATGGATATAGGTCTATAATTTATTGGGTCAGTCCTGTCTCCAGATTTAAAAAGTGGTATGATTTTACTAATTTTCATTATATTAGGAAATTTACCATCATCTATACATTCATTAAAAATAAAAGCAAGAGACGGCGCAATAATTTCCATTATACTATCCAGTATTTTAACAGATATACCCCATAGATCCTCTGTTTTTTTATTATTTAGCTGTTTAAATAAATGTTTAAAAAAATAAATTTAATAAGATCATTTTTAAAATTAAGTAATATATGCCACATTGTAAGAATGGTAATCTTTTAATAACGTCCGTATAGATCTACAGTTGTTATTTTATTTAAGGTAGTTATAGGATAATATAGTTTATATTTAAAAAAGAAAGTCAAATATTTTTGGTGCTAAAATATTGACATGGAATTTAAAAAAGGAATATATTATTGTACACACATACCAGGATAAGTAACAACTACGTTTTATATATATAGATAGGTTACAGATCGTAATTAGGTAAAACTTTGTAATTTAATACTTAATTATATATAATTAGTAAATTTTTCAAAGAATACATCTGTTCAAATAACAATTTCCAATTACCTAGATAATCTAATCTGATAATCTGTAAAACTATCCGCAGTAAAGTCAAAGCCGAAAGCTATTATTGAAATAAAACGTTTCAGCCATTCGTGTACGTCATATCAATTTTATTACTATTTTTAAATATTGTCTCAGGGCAATTAACATAGCACCAAATAATCACAAGCTAAGCAGATCTTGTATTATGAATACTAAACAACTGATAGAAATAGCTTACAGTCTTCTTTACACTATAAGCATAACAAACAATCTCAGTTGAGCTTTTATATTTAATTAACGCAGTAATAAAGCTACACTAAAGATTTTTGCAACAATTATTGTAAATTTGAAAGTTTTGGCGCTTTTTCAATTCACCCTGATAAATCAAAACATTATTTTATTATAAATGCAAATATATCTGTCTGTCTGTTTGTTATCCTTTCATGACTAAACGCATAAATTTTATTAAAATATTGAACGTCTGCTATTTTTTTAATTTTGTAAAATTAAAACTTCAAACAATAAAGCAGACGAAGTCGCGGGTAATATCTATTGTAATACAAAACAATATGTTCGCTATAGAAAAGATAAAAGTAATGATATCTTTCAAAAATTTGTTACTATCACGAAGCAATTTATAACACTGCCGCAATTGAAAAAAAACTGCACCAATTTACAATGTTAAGTCTGCGAGTCGCTTCCGCATTAATTAAAACGTAGATTAAGTGTAACGTAATATACCTCGATCGTATGTAGCGTAGAGGGCGTTTGTATGCCGCTACGTACCTAATATATTTCATATTTTCCACTTCGTACTTTAACACATTGCATATATTTTCACCCATGTCCGCCATATGCACCTTTATTTCTATTTTAGTGCATTGAAGTTTTAATAAAAAAAAATATTTTGTATTGCAAACCACGTTAAATCTTTTATAATCCAAAAAAATATTTAGATAACATTATCTGTTATCTAGATTATTTATTTTTTTGGAGAACGTCCTTAGGTGTTAAATTCACCATATGTATGTATGTACATTTATGTAGGTATTTGTGCATTAAAGTTTAAATAAATAAATAACCACAAGTATCGAATAATTTATTTTGCTATACGCGCAACTAAAGATATATAACATAATAGAAATATATATATATATATATAATTATATTTTTGAACGATATGCCTTGAGTCTGCCCATTACATATGACCATTCGGAATACAGATTCAATCAGGAAGAAGACAAGAAAGCCTGTTGTTTTTTAAATAAATGTGCATCTTTATATATTTAAGATTTTGTGTAGGTACCTCTTTGACATATGGTGCGATCGCGTTTTGTTACAATACCAAGGGCTAAAATAGTATATTACCTGCTGTGTCCGCGATTTCACATGCATCAATGTGTTATTCTGATGTATTAATTTTCAATAAAATCCGTTTAGTAGTTTTTGCGTAAAAGAGTAACAAACTACTAGGTAATAACTAAACTAACAAACATCCTTCAATACATCTGTCCACTCATACTCACAAACTTTCGCATTTATAATATTAATAAGAATTTCAGTCCTGCCTTTCTTACTTTGCTGTAAAAGCATTGAAATATGTACATGTACTATAGATACCAATACTACTGTTTTCTTATGTACCTAGTTTTAATTACGTACATGTTGGTACTATACTTATATATATCTAGATACAATACATAGATAAAGAAGAAAAAGTAAGATATTAATTAAATTAACACCTTTAAAACAAAATAACAGTCTGTTCATCGACACGCACAATGTACCAGTCGAAATGTTTTTACAGAATAAAATTGCTTACGTCACAACAATAAATTGTATTCAGTTTCGGAAACCGGGAGCTCACGTTATGAATCGAGGCATTGTTGTAAAAGCTTACTTCGAAATATAAATATACCTACATTCATGGACCGCTGACAGAGTAATATTCCATAGAGCCACATTGTTATCAGCTTGAAATTTAAATAATTGATTCAGGGACAAGATAACCGAATCTCGTTACGAAAATGCACAATGTTTATGTTTCATTTCAAAATTTCGCTTCAGACATTTACTTTCTGGTAACCTATTGTTGGTGTTTCACGCCAAATTGTTTTCATACGTAATTTTACTGGAAGTAGGGAAACGAAGTTGTAAACTTGATACTAAAATGGGTACACTTTTCTATTAAAATGTGATATTATATAGCCGTAAATAATGACGTTCGATGCTATAAAACTGTAACTGGGACATGCGATTACACGAAGTTACTAGATTTTAAAACACTATATAGTTGTATGTTCGTATTTAACTTTCTTAGATTGGAAGAATATTTCAATTACTTAATCTTACAAATCAGCCAAAGTTAGGGAAAATTGTAAAATATAACCATTTATAATTATTTCTATTTCATAAAGCCGGTCAGTGTCCAATTGTTTATTACTCACATAAATAGTTCAGGATTACGGCACTACATGGCGATTTTTGTAAAATACGGGCGATAAATTACGGGGGTAGGACTAGTTAGATGGTGTTATGATTAGAGAATTTGACCAATTATATAAGCTGATATTTGGAATACTAACACTTAATATAATATATGTAACTATGCAGCAAATATTGTACACTACTGTACAGGGTTTTCAACGATAAAGCTGGAAAGCAACCCTAACAATGCATTACTAAATTTTCACCCTAAACAATTAAGAATTACCAACTACTGCGATGCGATTCTTAGGTAGTCTTATTTTGTATGTCTATATGAAGATCTTAATATATAATCATAACTACTAGATGTAAGACCAAGAAATTCGATGTCGTCGGGGCAGTTCGCTGCTACTCGTAAATTATAAACAATTAAGGAATTATATATATTCATATATTATTAAGACAATTACTTTTTTAAAATACATATTTAATTTAAGAAAGACAGAAAGATAAAGACAAAGACAAATTCCTTTACAGTTTAAAATGAACTTTTAAATAAATATAAGGAAGTTATTTTTCTAGTATGTAGCTGCAAATACCTTTACAGCATGTAATCACATCGGTCGTGGTGTGCATACTCCGTCCCTCAAAACATAGACCCCTGAAACAATTTACAAGAAAAAAATTGAGTTACCTTATGCCATGAATTTAGATTTCTAAAAGAGTGAAGAGTGACTTTTAAAAGTTTGACTATTAAAAGTATATATATATAGCCATAAAAATATCTGACGATCTCAATGTTCTATCGACTTCCTCAGACTGTCTTAGTTCCTAAAGATCGCGGAGTAAAGAATATCTTTCAAAATATGTACATAGATTCAGTGGCCTGGATATTTTATACAATAGCACAGATGATAGTATAAACTTAAGCATCTCCCTAATATAAAGGGATTTAAAATATCTGTCTAACATTAGCTATTTATTGTTACAATGATAATAATTTCTTTTTCTAAATATATTAACTTCCGCTCTTCTATTACGTGGCTAGAAATACTTACGAACGCCACAGTTGCGAGCGCATACAAATTTGCCTGGATTAAAATAAGTAACATTATTTGAACCACATACTGGTTGGTATTCAGGTGTGGCCGGACAGTCCTGCACACATTGCCTCTGCGACGGGCTTTCAGTACTGTGAACAACAAAATTATATAACCACATAATATAATTTTATTACTATGTATTAAATGAAATTATACTGGGATAATAATTTGAATGTGTACTTATATTTAATCAATAACAATCTGTTTAATATTCATATATTATGAATGGTCCTCTGAGTTAACTGACCAGACTTCATAATAATAATAACCACCTTTTTTTGCGTCAAATAAAAACTATTACAAATGCTGCTTATATAATAACTAGCTACTCGCCCCGACTTCGCACGGGTGGGTGTACTTGTATTATTCTTCTAGAATCATCTTTCTATTTAAAAAAACCGCTTCAAAATCCTTTGCGACACTTTAAAGATTTAAGCTTACATATGAATAGACAACAACAGCGACTTTATTTAATACTGTGTAATGATGATGATAATAAAATTTAAAAGTAATGAACGAGACAAATGGTCTATAAATCACAAGGGGCAGTGATCTCTACTAGTCTGTTATAGCCCTTAATAGTAAATTAATACAATAAGAGATCGACGACGCCAATAGCACATAAGTTCTAAATTACTACTAAGAAAATAAACAAAACTTAAAATCATTGACAATAAATTAACAAGATTACAAAGTAATAAAATTGGACAATAATAAATTTAAAAATGATCATCCTATCATCTTCCACTGGTGCCCCGCTAGTGCAAACGGTTAACGCTGGCGGGAGCCGGAGTACCCATTAACATCCATTAAAAAGAAATCATGCAGTGTTTTAAGTTACAAATGCAATAAAGAGTATATACGTGTATAATAATTGTGAATTCAGTTTTATTATACATTGGAACAGAATGTTAAATAAATATATTAACTAGCTCATTACAATCACGGGTGTGGTTGTGAACAATATGCTATAGCTGTGTGTAGGTACTGTGTGCATTTTTAGGTCTAATTTAAAACTAATGCCTAATTGATTATTAATAAATCACGTTACGGGGTTCTTCTCATTCTCTACCAGCTAACTTTTAGGAATGCAAAGGTACATGAAGATATAGTACATGAATAGTTTAACAAACAAAAATTATTCTACATGATATTTATATCTGTATATATATCTTCTTTTAAATAAAATTGATTCGAGTTCGCCCTCGTGATTTTCAAAGAATAAATTACAGTATATATATTTATTTAAAGATTTTAATTATGTAAAAGCAACTAACCTGTCTTCGAAATATATTTGATCCGGTGAGAATGTACTAGACGGTATTTGTACGGGTCTACCCAAAATCGCATTCTGAGATCCATTGTATTGAGGTTCTATATCGTCTAATGTTCCACCACTGTTTAAATTACCTGAATTTGGGTACTGATTAGGTCTTTGTTGATTAAAAATAAGTCCCTGTTGTTGACCCTGATTCAAGCCAGCCTGTGAAGGATTCTGAAAGCCCTGACCCCCATTAGGATATTGAGACGCTTGCTGATTAAAATTAGGCCTTTGTTGTCCCGGAATATTTTGATACCCATTATTCTGTTCATTTCCATTCGGAAAGTTATTGAACCCAGGGTTATTAAAAGGGCGTTGATACATCTGATTAGGATATTGATTTTGTTCATAATCCGGATCTTGTATTGGACGCTGTTGGTTCAAATATTGTTGCTGATCCCACTGGTTTGGTTGAACTTGAGTATGGAGACCGGCAGATACTGGTGGTAGAATATTTCCTTGTACTTGACTTGGAAATTGACTTGGCCCCTTATTATTCATATCCGGTCTCGTATTACCCATTTGCTGATTTGGATTATTTCCATTTAATTGAGGGTTCTGGAAACTTCCTTGATTAGGGTACTCTGATCCTTGCCATTGATTAGGGTTATTAGGTAACTGAGGGTTAAAACCTTGGTTTTGCATAGGGTTAAAGTTTCCTTGATTAGGATTCTGTTGAAATCCGCCATTCTGAAAACGATATTACAGAAATACAATAATTTCAGGTATTGATAAAGCAAAAAGGTTTCCGATTTACCTAATAAGAAAAGGTAACAGTAACCTACTTTATTCCTACTATATTTATATTACTAACTACTAACCTAGTATATTTAGATTCATGTTGAATAAACACACTCACGAGTATTTTAATTTTAACTTAAAATGAGTGAGTGCAAGGTGATAGTATTTAACTAGGCTATTTAGTAGTTAAATACTATCATCTTACACTCAACTTCATATTGATAAGTAGCTTAGGTAGATACTATGGGTGATAAAATGTAATGTTGAATACATTAGTAATTTTGTTTCCTTGATGTCGATGTCTTTTAATATAGGTACTTACTACTCGTTTTTATAACTAGAAATCTTAATCTAAAATTCTAACATATTGATATAATAAAATTATCTTCACTAAGTAACTTTATATATTTTTATAACACCTTTATAACACCTTTAATCATTTCTACCCATTTGATGGAAAAATGCAGGCATTTTTTATGAACCTAAATCATAAAAATCAGGTGATACTTATTTAAAATATAAGTACATTACCAAAGAGATGTATTAAGTAGAAATGTATTGTAAAACATAGGTACCTACTGCAAATGTTTATTCCCCAAATATCTATAATGATAATGCAAGGGTGGTAGGGTATACATCTGTGTGTTTTTTTAAACATATAAATTATATCATTGATTTTTATATTATTTATTTAAACAACAATAGATATCTATAGAATTTATAATAATGGTCATACTTTTCTCTATATACCTATATTCACATTCTTTCTACAATAATTAAATTTACATTAAGTATTATCTCATTTCTCAATAACTACTTTAAATTTTCGAATTATATGTAGATAGATACTAATTACTTTGTTAACTAAAAGTTTAAAAATAACCAATTTAGATCTTTCAACAGTGAAAGTACCACAAAATTAAATGAAAATTTAAATTAGATATATTAAGTTACGCCTACCTGAGCACCACTAGGGTAAAACTGGTAAGGTGACTGTAAATTAGGCCCCGTATTCCCGCCGGGTCTTTGATTAAAGTTGGGATTTAGTTGGTTAAAAAGTCCACTAAGATCAAAAAATCTTGAGTTAACATCAGGTGTAATTTCGTCCTTTTTTTCCAGTGTCAGGGGTTTTTCCGTTTTAGACTCTTCTGCTGAATATGAGATGGAAATTAATGTAGATGCTGCAAAATAATAGAAAACAATGTATTATAGAAATATGTATTATAGAATAACATCTCTAGAGGACCTAGCTGGTCTCTCTGCTATCCATAACTTAAGCTCTATTTGGAAAACTTGGTACTAGTTGGCGCTGTGTGAATTATCCAGAAGTATTCATTATTATTTGTTTAGTTTAGTTAGTTAGCCGATTAGTTTGTTTTATACTGTACTGGCTAATCAGAAATGTATTTATTATTCTACATTTGTATTTAAATTACATATCTTTTTCTTCATCAAACTACATATTTCTACAATATTATTGCGCCATATCGGCATATACCTACCACACTATAAAACTCGTACCCAAGTTCTATTACTATTATTATTTAACACCTACAACAACTTAAGTCTACAACAAAATGAAGTTGGAATCGAAAACAAGCTAAAGTCCCTCGTGATAGAAAGTGGCGACGAAGTCGCCTTAGTCTATGTACGATTTTATGAACAGCACCACTACTTCTACATATAATCTATCCACTCAATATTTACTTTTCTCTGTTTATTATATAGGATATTAAGTATCAATAAATAACTTACTTATTATAAACCATGTGAATATCCAATTATTTTGACTATCAATAGTCATTTTTGCTATTTATTTAAGTTATTCAAATTTATTTAGATTTAGAAACACTCCAAAACCAAAACACCAGTCCCGCATGCGTTTGATTGCAACTAAATGCTTACTAACGGTTCAAGCAATAGATAAATACCAGTATTATTCATTAACATTAACTTAATAGCTTTAAACATTAATAATAGTCTATAAAGCAGCCATGATTTGAATCACATTTCCTTTGAATGCTTGTAGACTCATTGGAACGTATATAAAAATCTGATAACTAATTAACTACTTAAATAAAATATCTACCCACGCACATGGTAAATCCACTGTTAAATGAATAATACTAAGGGTAAAACCAATTTACTAATTTCATTAACCTATGGAGCTCTAGTCAGCCAATGATGGTGGTTTTGCGTAGGCATTGATCAACTAATCACTATTTATTTTCACGAATCTTCATTATGGATTTTTCCCCTATAAAGTTAGTGGGTCCTTTAACTAACATACGAGTATATCTATCCGTCATAATATTATATCTTATATATAAAATTCTCGTGTCACAGTTTTCATTCCCACAGGTTTCACTCCTCCGAAACGGCTTGACCGATTCTCACGAAATTTTGTGAGCGTATTGTGTAGGTCTGAGAATCGGCCAACATCTATTTTTCATCCCCCTAAATGTTAGGGGTAGTCCACCCCTAATTTTTTTTATTATTTTAAGGCAAAACAACGTTTGCTGGGACAGCTAGTAGAATATAAAAAGATAGCACAAAAAACATAAAAATGTTACTCTTCGCCATTGCGTTGTAATTAAGTCTAAATAGAATATGCCTTAATTTATTTGACTTTTAACCAAGATGAAATATAGGTCAAATGAAACCAATTACTTAATGGTAAAAACATGTTTGGGACCTTTAAAAGCTATGTAAAGTGTCTGCCCGGTTAAAAATCTGTCCTAGCGTCTATTGAAGGAATTTTGTCATGTTTTTGTTGTTCTTCCTCTAGGAAAAGAAAACCACACGATTAGTTTTATAAGGATATATAACCAACATACATACAGTAATGAGGACGACAACTGTTATTATACATTTTTTTAGTTCGTGTGAAAGATATACTTTAGATTTTCGTGATGGTTTGATGTGCAACATGTTATGTGATGAACGCTGCATTTAACCGAAGCATTATTAAGTAGTTATACATAAGTAAATTGTTTTTAAAACACTCACTTAAATAATTACGAGTTAAAAAAAGGAATTAAAATACATATGTAATCCAAAGGACGGCAGCATTTCAATTTTGATATATCTGATAATTCCCGCTCTTTTTTCATCAGGTTATCGACAATGAAGCATTCACCTACGTATTGATGACATCGCACATCCCGTGTAAAAAGGCCGCAACTACACTTGCGTCAAAAATGTTTTATTACATAAATAAAGCGAGCTTCACGGTTTACACCTTCTGTCAAAATCTCATGAAGCTGTGGCGAATTAACTATTATCGCGCGGCAACACCGTTGCCTAGTTACGACAAAACGAATAGAATAACAAGCCTGTCATTCGAGACCGAATCGCCTTCTTGTACATACCTATATATTAATTGTAAATATTTCGTAATTATAAATATGTACATAACAACAATCTGGACTCATCATTTCACCTCCTTCTTTCCCGCTGCTGCTACAAGAACACAACATAAATACAAATAATAGCGGTAACAATATAGACGCTAAATTGGTGACCCCGACGTTCCAGCACTGCAGCCATGGTGAAGTACCTACCTATTCCAGTCCAGATTTCCTTTTTCCGTCTTTATATCCATACCGGAGAACATACATCATCGCTTCAACTTCATCACCGATGATAGCACCGGCACTATTGACTGACCATTCTCGTATTACCCGTCGTATCTGCGGTTGCTTATTGAGAAACTACGACACGGGCCAGTACGACGCAGTCAATACACTACGAGTTGGACTTCGATTCCCGGATGGACAACATTTTCAGTTATATTATTTATTATTTATTTAACCACATCATCTGCCCCGGAGGTACCTAAATATTCTATTTTTTAATTACCTCCCTCCTGACCTGTACGGCATTACAGTTCACACAGGTTGAGATAACATGGCTGAGTCTATCACATTTAATTCATTATCAGTCATCTACCACCAAGCCATTAATCATGGGGGAAAAGAACAGTGATCAGCCGGGATGCTGTGAGTCCTGCTCATCTCCTACATGAGCCCTCACTACGATCCACACTTTCACTTCTATTTCCTTCCATTTTATCTGGAATGGAACGGAACAGATGATCAGCCGGGATATTGTGAGTCCTGCTTATCTCCTACATAAGCCCTCACTACGGTCCACAGTGTCATCTATTGTTCCTTCCACTTCATCTAGAAGAAGAACAGAATGAGGATAAGCCGGGATGCTTGAGTCCTGCTCATTACCTACATGAGCCCTCACTACCATCCACCCTTCCTCTATTCCTTTCACTTCTTCATCATTTACACTATTACACTCATCTCAATTCGCCACCACTTCATATAATCAACCTGCCTCAACGCAAAATCATTGGTTACCAGGTCAGAACGGAGAGTTTTATTTGATGATACTTTAGATTTATAGTTAACTTTCTTTTTCTTTCACCTTTTTCTCTCCGCGGGGGGGTGGTGTGGCGAATTAACTATTATCGCGCGGCAACACCGTTGCCTAGTTACGACAAAACGAATAGAATAACAAGCCTGTCATTCGAGACCGAATCGCCTTCTTGTACATATACTAATTGTAAATACTTCTATATTATAAATATGTAAATAATCACGACTGGTTTCTCTTCACCTCCATCTTCCTGAAGCTGCTTCTACACGAACAAAAACATAAATAATAGCGGCCCTATCTTCCCCGCTAAAAAGCTATTGACAAAAATGAAGGAATAAATGCAAAAATACTAAAATTTTGCGACTTTAGAAAACATAAAATTCCAGCATAAAATAGAGGTATCCGTATTTGCATTTATTCGCTTTACAATTATCCCGTTCATAAAGTCATAATTGTATTTACGTAAATTTTAAAAGAAGATTTACAAAAAAATGTTTAACGCAAATATACTTAAATACTTGTTCCTATATCTTACAATCTAGGACTATTGTGTAATTCTAATTACTTACTTCTTCTACGAAACTTTTAGCTGATAGTTTATGTGTGATTATTGTTACATACTTTCCCCCCAGCAAAAATTCACAATGCGTAAAGTGTAGTTGTAGTTACTTCTTTATTACACGTAACATTTCATACCTGATGTTGGGTAATTTTAAATACAGCATGTATTTACAAGAAAAAAAAATAAGAATATGTTCATGTAATTAAAATTAAGTAAAAAAATAAACTATTTTTAGCTAATTGTATAAGCTGACGGGCACCAATGATGGATGATAGGAGGAGCAGGAGATCAGATGAATTTGCCAGGAATAGTAATAATAAATGATAGAAAAATCGATCTGCTTTTAGACATTTATCATAGAAGAGCGAATTGATAGAAGTGTATATAAAAACAATAGATAAAAAGAATACTTCTACTTTAAATATGGATAAACGAATATACAATTGCCAGTGAATCTTATTGTAGGTCTAACAGGAATTAACTAACGATGGTTTCCAGGATGGACCGTGTGGAACTAAATGTACCTTATATTGCTAGCAATAATATTCAATATTAATTCCCACTGTTCATAATAGGTACACATACAATACTAGATGGTCCCGCAAACGTTACTTTGTTATAAATTACTAGCTGTGCTCGCATTAAAGTTCAATAAAAAATATATCCTGTGTTATTCAGATGCATAAGCTATATTAGTGTAAAGTTTCGTAAAAATCTATTCAGTAGTTTTTGCGTGAAAGAGCAACAAAGATCCATACTTACAAACTTTCACGTTTAGAATATTATATTAAGATTAAGATTTCTGAAAACTATTAAAGTACTAATCATCATAATTTCAACTTGTGTCTATCCACAGTTGGATATAGGCCTGATGAAGGTGGTCCAAATCGAGAAGGTTGTCGATAACATACTAATAGACCAATCAAAATAAGAAGTAAACCAAAAATGTCATTGATCAAATTAATGTTTCCACATAAAGAATCGCATTATCTCCGCAATCTAACAATGATAAATTCTAGATGAAAAGCATAATTGCGCTAAAATGCATCGTTTATACTTATAGTGCATTAAGAAAAACCCAGATTATGAAAATGTTACTCCAGCCTCTCAGAGATGGTACTATAATATTAGGTCCTTACATATGAAATTGGTGTTTTGTCGTACTGGCCACTTTGATCTCAAATATCTCCTCTTTCGCCAGGAATTCAAAGTTCAAATTAGTACAGTTATTTACTCATGCATTTGTTTTTCGAAAACCGTAATCCATATGTTTTTTCCATCTTTGGTTTTTTCTTTACGTCACTGAGTTTACAAAATGGAAAACATAAAATATCGCGTTTTTAAGAGTACGAATTCCGTCGTGGCACTTGTGTGCAGAAACGACTCGAAGAATTAATGATGTGTATGGCGATGGTGTCGCAAAAGAAAACACAGTGCGTTTTTGGTTCCAATGTTTTCGTTCTGGAAATTTCGATCTGCAAAACAAGCCCCGTGAGCAGCCAGAGTCCAAGGTTGATAATGAAGAATTAAAGGCTAATGTGGAAGCGGATCCATCGCTAACCACGTCCGAGTTAACTGCAGGCTGCAGTGTTAGTAACAAAACTGTTTTAATCCACTTGAAGCAAATTGGGAAGGTGAAAAAAGCTTGAAAAGATCATGAATTGAATGGAGCAAATCGACAAACGCGCGTAGACTGCTGCGTTATTAGCCAAACGGCATAATAATGAAGGGATTTTAAATCGGATCATTACCTGTTTTGTATGAAAAGTGGATCTTGTACGATAATCGGAAACACTCATCGCAATGGCTGAATCCTAGCAAACTAACCAAATCCTGCCCCAAGCGAAAATTCAAACTCAAAAAAAGTTACTTGTGAGCACTTAGTGGACTAGTGCCTGTGTTGTTCACTTCAGCTTTCTTAGAGAATATTACGGCAGATGTGTATTGTCAGCAATTGCAAACCATGATGGAAAAGCTAGCTGCTAAACAACCGAGACTGGTCAATCACCGTAGGCTACTGCTGCTTCAGGACAACGTTACGAAATTAGAAGAGCTTCAAATGTCCAATATATCCACCGTACTTCCCGGATCTTGCTTTCTTTCAAAATTTGGATAACTTCTTGCAAGGAAAAAAATTTTTTAGTAAAGGTATCAATAAAACTACCTATCAAATGGCAAAAGTACATTAATGGCAATGGACCATATTTTGATTAAATAAATGTATTATATTTTGAAAAATCAACTGAAATTGGCGTTTTGTAAGGGAGTAATTAGGTTACTCCCTTACAAATTTCATATGTTAGGACCTCATATATTTACTACACGAGTTGGAGTAAAATTAAAGAGATTTCGGCAGATCCTCAATGTCCGGGGAATTCCAAATAAAATACGCATTCGCTGATGAGACACCAAATAATAGACAAATAGAAGGGGAAGACTTATGAGAAAAAAAGAGCTGCACACAGCGAGCCTTCTGAAATCAAGCATTAGTATGATGCACCGCTACCGATACCTAAAATATATACAAAGACTTGATGAATCTATATAAAGATAATAACATACCACCACACTATCAGACGTTTTATAAGAACTTAAGTACTAAATCTAAGACTAAACTAAACTAAACCACAGAGTCCGATTCCAAAGTTGAGGATAATGAACATTAATAAAAATAATAAAAATATCACTATTTTGAACATTTTTTGATTAAGTTGATTATGGAGGCAATAAACATTTCTTTAAAAATAATAATAAATTAATAATAACCCTGTTTGTTTTCATATTCTCTAAATTAATTTGCCCCTATATTTATACTTTTGACTTACATGCACGCACATAATAGACTATTTACTGTAAGAAGTAGGTATTACATGATACAAATTAAATATTCAGTTACTTTCCGCATTATAAAAGCTATTTTTATAAATACACTAACTAAACTAAAATAAATGGCTCCCTAGAAATACGTAACTCGATGTACAAAAAATGATATTTCGTTAAATAACAACGTAATTATACTTGCAATTCTAGATTTTAATGAAATATAGGAGAGTATAAAGGCGTAAGTAGAGTTAAATTTGTTCATATATTTAAAAATACATAACAATAAAGCAATAATTGTAGTTACCCCTGCAAATGTTCTTTGTGTTTCGTGGAATACAGAAGTAACCGTGTTTTTTTAGATTATCTGGAAGTACATGAAGCTGTTCCTAAATTAAATGACACATGTAGTTGAAGGCAACTGTGACCTACGATTTTCTCTTTGAAACTTATTTCTAGAACTCATACAAAAAATATAGGACAGTTTTTTTAAGCTCCTGAAAAGTTGGTGAAAATCACTTACTTCCTTTTTCCACGAATGGTGCGACATTAACTGACACTTCGATTCTATCACGCATGAATTTGGTTGTATGAGTTGAATTCTTTTGCCTTACCTTATGACAGGAAAAATCAAACAAAAAAGAAATTATATATGTCAGTCCGTCAGTCTCATTATTTGATTAAAGAATCTGACCGAATGAAAATCAATTTTCAATTCGTTCAACTTCACTTACGTTTCTGTATTTGTCTTATCATATATTTTTTTAGGTATTGGGAATATTAGACTTCAATTACTTAAAGGTAATTTAACAATTTCTTTATTTATTTTTGGTTTCAGAGGATAGATTGTACGTCTTTGATCTTTATAATGTATGTTACTGAATAAATTGTACAATTTATATCGTAGTTTATATTACAACTCATTGTTGTTTTGCCGGTAGTAAGATAAGAAAAATGAGCTGCCCGATTAGTGACGATCATATAGTCCAGTTGAAGGCATTCGTGGAGCTATGCAAAACGCAGCCTCAGATCCTGCAACATCCAAAGTTATTGTTCTTTAAAGATTATTTGACGTCACTTGGAGTTACGCTACCTACCGCCACATTTGGTGCAAAGAAATTTACACCTTCTGGAGACACGTACGTATAGACCATTAGATTTTAGCATCATCTATCATATTATAATCATCATCTTTCTAGGAAGTTTGATGCTTTTGTTGAGCAAATATCTTGTTTGCCATTCTAAATACATTGACAATGCATTAACTGGTTTACGTTAGTACGTTTATATAGTTATAACTTCTTGTGCGGCCAATAATTTTATATGTATTTGTTTTGTATATAAATAGAAACATTTTTAGAATTCAACATCATGACTACAAACCTTTGTTTCCTTCCGATGAATTAACACCACAAGGCTTGAACACAATCATCAAAACCACCATTCAACCAATTACAAATTCAAATTACTATTCCACATACTATATGTTTCTTCTAGATATACCTTCTTGATTTTTATTCACATTAAATATCTACCATGACCTTTACTTGACCTACTTTTTTTATACTAATATTTTTTTCAGTAATACTGATGCTAATAAACCTGAAGACAATGCTCAATTATCAGATGAGGAATCTGAACCAGAATCTGAGGTGGAGTTGGATATGGAAGGTTTGTGAAATATGCTTGTTGGTGTGTGGATTTTAGTTGCTTTAAACCCTACTGCCTCACTCTACCCTACTCAGAGGTACAAGTAATTTTGAATAACTATATAAAGATTGCAGTATGTTGCTTCTTTTCTTAATAGTATTATATAAAGACATGAGATTTCATACATAAGGATTTCAATATCATATTAACTGTATTTTGTAGTACTTTATTGGTTTATTTTATTTTATTGGCAATAGAAAGTATATGCTCATCATTCTAAAATGTTATTTTACAAATCATTATTCTTTTGTACATATTCAATTAAATTTCTCCATTATCTGCCAATTTTCATTATACTTTGTCTGCCATATTGGAATGAAGTATAAATAATTTAGTGAAACATCTATAGATTAACCATAATATTAAAAAATGATTGTTTTTTTTTATTTTCACTGCTTTTGGCGTCACTAAACCATCTATGGTCTGCATAATAATTATGTATGTGTATTTTGAGAAACTATAAACCAGTTAGGACATAAGATGGAATGCGGCCATTAATTTACATTGATAATATTACGTTATGATTTAAATTACAGGTGTCATTGAACCAGATGTGCCTGATGAATCACAGATTATGGGTGATACATCACGGGAAGTGACAGATGAGGAGCGTGACCAATCAGATGAAAAACGTTCAGAAGCTATGAGAGCATTTTCAGAGCAGCAGTTTGATGAAGCCATTAAGTTATACAGTGAAGCTATACAATTAAATCCACAGAGTGCTTTATTGTTTGCTAAGAGAGGACAGGTAAGTCATTTCAGTAGACAGTATGTCAAATAATGATAGGTAAAATATGAAACAAAGGATTTGTCTATTGTTACTGCTAATTGTACCCATCCATATTCTGCAATAATAAATATAATGCTCAGTAATGAAGTTTATGGCGGAATATGGGTGCCGAAACTATCTATGGTCTATGTGGGATATATAGGATGGGGTATAATTTGTGTGTGTGTAGTTACAATGTTAAATTAACATCTTTCAGATTTATCTAAAACTTAACAAGCCAAATGCCTGTATCAAGGATTGCACACATGCACTAGAACTAAACTGTGATAGTGCTGCTGCATATAAATTTCGTGGACGAGCCTACAGGTTTGTAATGATCATTTTAAATTTATATCTATCTAATCTCAAGTCAGTATGCAGTACTATTGATCTTTAACATGCAATTCTTGTTTCTTAAGTCTTACATTTTAATTAAGATGTACAACTGTAATTAGATTTGCAAATTTTTACAATCATATACAGCTGCAGCTAGACCTTACAGGCTGCTGCCCATACCCAGCAAGTAGCAGTCTCGAAGAATGCTTCTTACTCGGCCGTACTGTACGTGTCTGATAAGAGTAGACCAGCTTGTGCCCATAACGCCGTACGATTTATAGCTTCGTCCTGCCCAAATTCAGCATGGCCCATCTAAGTTCAGTCCAGCCAATGCATTTCTCAGCTATCACTGTCTGAATTATGGTGATGCTGTTAGTCTTATTAGATCAATATAATAATAAAATGTATGGAGAGCTTAAAGATATGGGAACAGCTCTAGCCTTAGCATATCTGATTAGATTTATCAAATAAAACAGACACCTATCATAATTGTTGTATTATCTTTATAGATTACTAGGAAAATTCGAAGAATCTTCTCATGACCTCTGTGAATCATTGAAAATTGACTATGATGATCAAACGAATGAATGGTTAAATGAGGTAAAGCCAAATGCGGAAAAATTGCGCCAACACAAGCTTACCACGCAACGAAGAAAGGAAGAGAAAGAGGTATTTATTGCTTTAATTATTTCAGAGAAAGTTGTCCAAAGAAAACTTATTATATACACATTCTTGGTTATTGAGAATTCCTTACCACTTCGTCTTTTTGATCTGAGAGGTAAAAATATTTATTATGTATTTCACTCAATGAGGAATAAAAATAATGATACATTATTGTACCAAATATTAAAATTCATATAAATTTGTGAAATTATTTGAAAAATCTATTTAGAATCTAGACATGGAATTAGAAAAATATTCATTTGAAAAAGCTTAGATAATGCTATAATAATAATAATAATGTATGTAGTTAATTTTAGTCTGGTAAAAAAATAAGTCCATATTGCAGTAAGGAGACAAATATTATTTAATTCTGTTCATGATTTCTTTATATGATCATTTGTTGGAGTGTGTATGTAAATATTTTGATTAAGACCAATATGAAATCAATTAAAGACGTGATAAAAATTTCCATGATTTAGATCAAAGATTATATAGAATCAGTTTATTTTATTATAAGCAAACTTTTTTGGTGATCAAATTAATTCAAATAATAATAATATGAATTAAAATGTATGTAAATTATTATTTACATGCCCTTTTAATTGTTGAAACACTTACATTAACTACATTTATATTATAAACTACATACATAATTATTGAGGTAAGATAAAATAAACGAAATATTAATTAAAAACTCATTCTGTATGAAATTTAAATGTTGAGGAAGAAGTGTTTTACTTGTTCTTTAAAAATATCAGTGTTTTTCACACTTGATACTAGTTGCGTAATGCTAGTTTAAAGTGAGTACTTTTATGAGTTATTAATAATTTCAAAGAGCCTACCACCGTTTTCGACGTATAAATTAATGTACAAATATATAGATTACGAACCACGACCTTCGCATCCAAGTCAGAATAATGAACTACTAGGTCTGTATGCTCTCACTGTTTTTAATCGTGTAGTATTGTGTTACAGCACCGCGAGAAGATACGTCGTGCCCGCAGAGCGCAGGAAGCGCGAGCGCGAGCGGCGCAAGCCCAAGAGCGCGCTGCCGAGGCTGACCCTGCCTCCGGGCTTGGCGGTGGTGGTGCTGATTTTCCCGGCGGATTCAACCCCCAGGACTTCAGCAACTTACTATTCGACCAAGAGATCATGGCCGCCTTTCAGGTAAACGCGACATATTTTATTTAAAACTTTCCAGTATAAAGAGAATTGCTTTAGTAATAAATTTGGCTGCTTAGAGATCCCTTCCATAGATAGCTAGCTAGCTAGATAGATATAGCCCTTCTGTTTTTTGCAAGCTGTGTTTCGATTTGAAGGTATGACAATTTAGTTCTCCAAATGGCAACACATAAGTGGTACCACAGTATCAAGTAACCATATAATGTCCTTGAGCTAGATTATGTTACCAATTATAAGGATTATGATATCTATGTAGATTGTATAATAAAAAGGAAGCCCATTGCTAAACATATATATTCCACCGAATTTTTAATTTTTCAAATAAAAGGAATGTTCGGGTATTCATTTTAGTTTTTGCTCAAGTAGTATCTTGTTATATTTTCAGGATCCAGAAGTTGCTGCGGCATTTCAAGATGTTTCAACGAATCCAGCAAACTTCATTAAGTATCAAAACAATCCTAAGATTGCTACTGTTATAGGAAAACTACAAAGTAAATTAGGGAAGGGTGGTTCTGGAGGACCTTTCTCTGGTGGTTTCCCAGGTTAGATATGAATTTATATAAAAATCCCGAAATTTCCACATAATCACTTGAAAATATTTGATGATTGCTTTAAATATGCCACAGTACCCTAGGGTATATACATTTAGTCATGGCTGACATTCAATAAATCGACAATAATGTCAAATAAATATCGCATTTATACCCAATTTGAATCATGTGTTCGATCATCTATGACTTTAGCCGTTGTTCAAAATAGTTTGCGATTTCTTATCAAAGCTATCGTTAGCGGAGAAACAGAAATATAAATAAATATATTTTTTAAAGTCAAATGAAGTCAGGGTAATAATGCACTACAGTACTAGATTCAAGACACACACTGCTATGATACTCATGACACACAACATTGATATACTTGATGATATTCTTCACTAGTGAATATTATATACCAGCTTTGCCCGCGGTCTCAATCACCTTAAAAATCAATAAATAATATAGCCTAGTGTTTTTTTCTTTTGGGATAATGAAATAGTGCACCAAACTGTGTTAACGGTTTACGCTGGCGGTGCACCAATGGAAGATAATTAGATGAGCATGAGGTCAAGGCAGTTGGCCCATCGTGACAAATTCAGTATTATAACGATGGTTTCCAGGAGTGCGTGTAGAGGTCGACCTAACATGGTACATTGCTAGCAACGGTTAAAAAGGATAACTAGTTCCCATTACTAACAATCCCCCCCCTCCCCCCTAGTGTTATTCTGATGTATAAGCTGTGTGTGTTTGTGTATATATTACTGTAAAGTTTCATCAAAATCCGTTTAGTAGTTTTTGCGTGAAAGAGTAACAAACGTACATACTCGTGTGTATAATATTATTTGTGTATATATATATATTAATGTATCAGGTTTTGGTGGTGCCGGTGGGCCTGGTGCTGGTGGACCTGACGCTGGAAGTAAGCCAGCCGCTGACGATGACGTCGGCCTCGATTAAACACTTAAATTTTTATTACATATTTCTTGCATTTATATGATAGCAATAAAAAATATAATAAACATAAAATAACATAGCATTGTAAAATACATATGCCTTGAACATTTTTTGTTAATTAACCATATTAAATCTGTAATACTAGATAGGTGCTGGCGATCTATTTATAGTCCTTGTGTATGTTGTAGGAATTTATTTACGTTTCATTACAATGCATTTTTTTTTTCCTATTAAGTATTAAAAAATTGAACTGATGTATATTTAATGCCAAAAGATATGTTATATAATCCCTTTTGTTTCTATTATTTTAATTAATGAGTACATACTTACTTATCGGTTTAAAGTTTGAAAGTGCTGACAGGGTGAAGAACTTAACTACAAAATTCTTTTTATATTATAGAATATCATGCTATATCGTATTATATATGCTACTACTAAACAATAACATTGCCATACAGATATATTATCGTGTTAATAACTATCATTTAAAATAATAACTATACATATGGATTGTTGTAATTTAGTTAATATTAAATATAGCTTTTATTTTTAAATAGAAAACACTTAGATTTGCCTGAATGTTTTCACATATTGTAAGTTCGTTGTTCTTGCATTTTCATTATTATAAACAAAAATATTTAATATTTGTTTTTTTTTTAGTTTCCCACTCGTATATATAATTAGGAAGACTAGAAATAGCTTAGACAATATGGATACATGCAATGTTGCAATGCATGCAATTGTTTCAAATTAATAATAACGTATTTATATTTTAAGTATTTTTATAGTTGAGGACATAAAACACATTGTTTAATAATTTTACTAATGGAACATTCACAATAATAATATCCCTCTACAATTCACACAACGCCATCTAGTCCTAAACTAAGAAGAACTCGCACTATGAGTATGACACAACAACTATAAATACTTTTTTATAGAAAAAAAAAATTGTGGATACATGTTATTAATTGAACCAACGACCATAATAAATAGGGTTAAACCAAGGCAGATCCGATCTAAAAATGGAATATAAAAGTAAACTTATTTATAACAGAATTTATTCTCTATTTATTTAAAAAGTAATCTCACTATACATCATTTACTCGGCCCCAACCTAGTCTAATATTCTTTTCCTGTAGTTTCAACCAAGACGGCATATTTTTCGGCAGCGGATGAGCATTGGGGAACTTTAATTGAGGTGGAGGTTTCTTGAAAGGATCTTCATTTTTCAGTTTTCGTACTAAATATTCCTTATTTATTTGTTTAGGGTCCCGGTACTTATCCATGTAGATATTAAAAGGCCTGCGTCGTGGGAACCATTCTTGTGGTCTAATGTATGGTGCCGGGAAGTCATACTCATAAACTGAAAATATCACGTAAATATTATTATTCATTCATGCATATTTTTTAATGGATGATTATAATAATATTAGACCCATTTCCGCTAATGATATTCGCTGGTATGACACCAATAGATGATGATAGGATGACAAATTTATCAGGAATTAAACGAGATGGTTTTTAAGATACATCTTCATGTTAATACTATCCTCCTTCATTGGAGCCCCGTCAGCATATATTGATACCACAAGCAGGTTTACCAATCAATGAACCTCCATTTAAAATGAGTGATAAAAAAATATATTCAATACATCATTACTTTCTCCCCCTATACAGGCATATTCTATATAATAAATGTATGGTATAGTCTGATATTAAATGGTCCCCACAATAATACTTGCAGTATTTAATTAGGTCAGTATTAGGTCATCATTTGCTGATTTACCAATTTTTTTTACAAATATCACCACAAAATGTGATGGTTGTGTCCTCTTCCGTCTCTTAATTACCTATCTATGACAGTATTAATCAATACATACCCAGTGATTAACTTATACACTAATTATTAAATCTAAGTAAAATAATATCAATTTCAACTTACTAGGTTCCTTCATTTTCAATTCATTATGAAAAAAGTCCTTTACACTATCATCCCAATCAGTTTGATAGAATGCCAGACCAGTTGGAGTGATATTATCTTGATATTTTTGGTACCATTCTCTGGTTATAAATGTTCTGGCTTCAAGTGGTGATGATGAAGTTACTGAAAACAAAATACTGTGTCACGATATCAACTATGTAAGGTTGCAGGAAAAAGCAACTCTTACTTTACTGTATTGACATACAAATTATGGGAAATTAAAAATGTATTTTATAAAATTAAATACCTATAATGGAAAGTTGAACTGTAAACACTTCTAAAGTTTAAACTCTACCTTTTTCATCATTGATATGGATATGTCATTGAAGAGCAAGGCAGATAGAATTAATTATAAATTCAAATTTCAAATGAATCCACTAGAACTGAATCAGATTTGTGCTTATATAGCCATATTATTAAACAATACTATACCTTTTGGTAAATCATATGAGACTTTTCCATCTTGTTTATATAGTACGAAAACATATCTATGGTATCCAGTCCCTTTCAATGGGAATGGTTGTAAATATTCCACAATTGTATCACCCTTTTCTATAGAATCACCTGGTATATTAGCAATTAACCAATGCACATACTCTTTATTTGCCTCTGTTAGATGACCATCCAGACTGGTCAGTGACAAAGTCCATAAAGAATTTGCATCACTTTCATAACCAACACTAGGGTACTTAATTGCTTCTTTTGGTTTTACTACATTTCCAGAGAAAACAGGTAATAGGGAGCCATCATTTAAATTGTAATAAACATCTAAATTCACAAATGGTATAAAATAGCCTTCACCATAGAGATGCTCAAATATACCATAGTGATCAGCAATTTGTTTCTTTTGATTTGGCCCTGCAGTTTTGAGCCATTCTATTCTTGCTTTTGTAAGATCAAGTTCTAATTTATGGTTGCGTGCCAGTTGTTCTAAATTTTTATCATTTTTATTATTTTTAATATGTTCTAAACGTTTTGTACGTATATCAGATGCTGAAACTCTGAAAATTAAAATAAAATTACTAATTAATAATAATAAATGACATATTTAGTCATATTATAGTAGTCACTAGGAAAGTGGTTTCAATATAATAATATGTTGTTGACCTGATTTAGTACATTGCTAATTGCTAACCACAATTTACTACTCACTCGCACCACAAAAACTCCACCATCTCTTGTTGGTCTTGCACATAATAGTTTGCCATTGGGTTTGCTCAACTTAGTTCGCAACCCTCTTATATGTGTTAAATAGTCCTATTAGTTTATATATTCATGACTCAAGAGAAAGGCAGTAGGCTGATCAACCTCATCCAGAACTAGTAAGATTATTTCTTCAAATATGTGGTTGGTTTTTGAACAACTTACTTTGTGGTTTATGCAATAAACTAAAGAGTAAAAGATTTATGTACTAGATTGCAAATAATAGTGAGCCTTCTGATGTTGTTTGTACACGAACTCTCCTACTGCTACTCTACTAAAACCCTAGCGTTATGGCACTGGACATTTTATATAGTAAAAAATTATGTAGGAATAATTTCCTACATAATTTTCTAATTTCCTACTGATCTACCTTATTAACATATTACATAAATTTATGGCTTTATCATTCCTGCAAACTTTATATGCTTACTTGGTTCGTGGGAATCCTATATTTATCTTTGTTGTATAAATTTCATCTTTATAGTTCAATTCTTCAAGTCGTTCTTTTATAGTTCTACAATAAATAGGAGCTTTCCCTCTTATCCTGTGTCCAAATCTAATCTGTTGAAATTGTATGTTGGTTAGCCATGCTCCCCGAAATGTACTTAACATTATAAAGCTTTATGTTTGTTATATAATGCGATATTAATTTATAAATCAATTAATAAACAATATTTGTTAAGATATGTCGTCTTTAAAAAGTATTATTATTATTTAGGAAAACTATTCCCATTTTAACAGATTCTAAATGGTTAAAAAATTAGAGATGGATAGAAAAAAATAATAAAAAATGATACCAGACAGACTGTCTCGATTTCCCCCAAAATTTTGTCTGAGAACACGACCAACTTAGTAACTTTTTTTAATACTAATTCCACATTTTGTTGTTTTAGCCCGGTTCTTGTTTTTGTACATATATTAACACATCAAATACGATCATAGCACTTTCTTTTCTATTTTGCCCCAAAGGTATTCCTTCAGAATTACGAATAAAATAAAATTTAGGGAAAAAATCTTTAATCTAGCATCACTGGTTGGAATGACAGCCACAGTGTTGGCAGGCAAGTGTCTCCCTTTCCCACAAATTTTATTTTCTTTAATTATAATTTAAATAAGAAAAAAATATTTGTATGCCAGCTATTAATATACTAACAACAGTGAAAGTTGTATTAACTAAAGTAGTATTTTTTATTCATATAGTCAGTTAGTTGGCGTCCCAAAATTTGTTGTTTCCTTTTGTAATGCCTTCCACATTTAATTATTTATTTAGTCAGTCAGCAACACTGACGTTCACTAGGCTTCCTAATACTATGTAATATTATCTTAAGACTAGCTGTTCCCGCGACTTCATCCGCGTGGAATTTAACTTTATTTTTCTAAAATAAAAGTAGCCTAGGTTTCTCCTTATTACATCAGCTACCTACCAAAAAAAGTCCCGTCAAAATCGGTCCAACCATTTCAGAGACAAGTCGGTACAAACAGACCGCCAGACAGACAAACAAAAACTGTAAAAAAAATATTTTGATATATGTACCATATTTATATTCATATGCATATAGTAAAAAACGGTTATTTCAATATTACAAACAGACACTACAATTTTATTTATATGTATAGCTTTATAGATATGAAGCAAAACCTTTATATTCCTTTTTGCGAAAATTGTGCTATTGGAGAAGAACGCACACTTAAAGTTTATATAGAGACGGAGTGCACATAGCTCATATTTTTTTAATTATTAAAAATACCTTAAATCATTATAAAAGAGGTTACACACATGTTTTCAACACACACGCATATATATACTATTTTGTTTGTCTGAATTTGCCTGTGCAATTGCCAGTGCTTGTTTTGACAATAGAACCTTAATAATGTTCAAACTTATAAAAATTAATTATGGGTGAATTTCGACCACTAAGCGACCGACTGGTATTTGATATACATAAAAGCAATAATATCTAGACACGCGATAGCGTTTCAAGCCAAGTTTAAGTAACAGAACAGCACCGTGTGTAATATAACGTGAACCATTAGGAACCTTTTGACCCCTCATAACTCAAAAACTCTTTCAAACGTGTAAAATTTGGCTCATATATTACTCCAACATATGTACTCCAAATTTCATAAACACATCTCAAATGGTTACTTAGATATTAACGTCCAAAAATTTTCATTTTCATCACTGACTGACCTATAGATCACAAATCTAAATCACTTCCAGATGACCTAAAAAGTTCATATTTGGCATGCAGATAGGTAATTAGGATCATTTTATTATAATTTTTCATTTATTTGATTCTATTTCAACTTATATGGACGTCTACAGAAATTCTACGAAAACGTCGAAAGCCGCCAATTAACATTGATTCCTGGCTACCAAGTAAGTCATCTTGGACTGGACATTGGTAATATTGTATCAAAACGTCAAATTGAACCAATTTGCTTTGACCCCTACATATTATTGAGTTACTTAGTAACGGTTGTTTGAACAGAATACAATTTTACACTGCATATCTTGTTTCTCTAATACATATCAGTGTCGATAACTAGCGAACTTTAAATATTGTGTTAAGTGATAAACACTAGTTGCTATAATCTAAGTAGTCTAAAGTATTAAGAAGCCCTCCGCTCCAACATAAATCTGATTCTGAACCAGATTTGTCAGCGAACATTATCACTGACAAATCCACCAAACTTAATTCCCGTTCAAAAGGAAAGACGACATAGTAACATCTATTGACGAACTAAAAAAGTTAATAAACAAATCAGAGAAGCAGAATTAGAAATTTAGGACGTATATTAAATAATGATATAAAAGTACAAAGTAATGTCATACAATCGGTGGAGTTCTTATCTCAAAAATATGAAAATAATAAGTTATTATTAGCAAACATAAGTTTTCATAGTGATATACTCGTATTTTCCAATTGCTTCAAAAACTCTGTAATAATTCCTATATTAAAGAATGGAGATGAATGTGCATTAGTAACTACAGACTTATATCAATTTTGCCTAGTATATTATATAATAATACATAGATTTACTATAGTTATAAGTAAATATGTATACTTAACTTTGAATGAGTATAATAATGAATACATATTGGTAACAAAATTGTAGAGTACCTATAACCGTCTGCGCACGTTATATTGTCCCGAATTGGCCAAATTAAGTATAAAAAAAAAGAAAACGCGTAAAAAATCCGGATATTGAATAACAAATACACTCGAACATTTCAAAGGTACAAGAAAATATCGTAAATAACACAAAAAAGACAATTATACCCCGTAAACGTAGGAAAATACAGTACAATTAAAAAAATGTTATAAATAAGTACCTACTAATAATTTATGTACAAAAAGTAATGATATCCGATTAAAAACAAATCTGTAATGAGAGCCAAGTTCAATATTATTATACATATGTATAATTGTATATGCCTTGGTTGTTGAATTCAACGACAAAAAAAGTAAGATCTAAATGGGTGCCAAGTTCAATGGTCAGTACTGAAATTTATTTCTAACAATATAGAATATAATTTCTTCTTATAACTTAGAATAATATATTGTAGCCTAATGTCTGACTTGGCAAGTTTTCATCTCCTGGCCTCATTGTCAACAATGTACTGTGTCAGGTTGACTTCCACGCGGTTCTCCCTGGAAACCACCGTGATAAATTCAAGGAGAAAATGAAGTTGTTACGATGGGCTAACTAACTTGACCTCATGTTCATCTTATCATCCGCCAATGGTATGCCGCAAGCGTAAATCGTTAGCGCAGGTAGATACACCTTTCTGTAATCATCTATAAACGAAGGGAAGGAATTATTAGTAATGTGGACTAAAAACCCCATTTATAGCAATGTACTATGTCAGGTTGACCTCGTGATAAATTCATGGTGAATTTACTACGATGGGCTAACTGACCTGATACTCATCTTATCCTTCACTGGCAAGCCGATAGCGTAAGCGGGTGCACTATCAATAGTATCAACATTAATGCCATTATGATTCATAAAAAAAGATATATAAAAAAAAACTCTGTGTTCTTTATGGTAGATAATTTTTTTCTGAAATTAAAAGAAATATATAATAGTATTTTACAAATGTATCTTTATTATCGTTAATATTCTTTCGGTATATATTGCTATTAAAATAAATCGATAACCTTTTGTTACTTTCGATATCCCTAAATAAATATGAAAACAAATTATTGAGTTAAAACTCTATGGATATTCACTGGACTATCCACTAAATCTACCAATTCTACCGTCTACCAATCTATATCTACTATAAATAGTAGTAAATTAGTAAGCAAATTGTTTTGATTCCTACCCGTGTCGGTTTTAGTGCTGCTAATCAATATTGCTGTAAATAAATATTTTAGCAGTGAAAATGTTTCTGTCTGAAGTTCGTGTTGTGAAACTGTGTATTGTGTAGAGAGTGGACAATTTATTTATACATCAAGAGACAATAACAATGAAACATTAGGTTGATCATGGTTTTGTGTTAAAACTTAGGAGCCATTTACACATGGCGAAAAGTCACGTACACTTTATTGACGAAAAGTTCGTCGTACACATTTAATGGTGTAAATATTTATAGTGATTTTTATTTGGATTGATCGTTATTAGTTCGTTAAACATGGACAGCAAGAATATCCAAAAAAATGCCATGCACAAAAGTGCAGAGTTTACTTTCACTCCGCCACCCGAAGCGCCTGTATTTGAGCCTACACCCGAAGAATTTCTAGATCCTCTAGGATATATAGCCAAGATACGTCCAGTCGCAGAGAAAACGGGCATATGTAAAATAAAACCTCCAGCGCGATGGCAACCACCTTTTTCGTTAGACGTAGATAAACTGAAATTTGTTCCACGGATACAAAAAGTCAATGAATTGGAAGCCATAACACGTTTGAAATTATTGTTCCTCGAAAAGATATTAAAGTTCTGGGATCTACAAGGATCACCGCTCAAAATTCCTATGATAGAAAATAAAACCCTAGACTTATATTGTCTTAAATTTTGGGTAGATGAAGAGGGAGGCTTTGAAAATTGTAACACTCCGAAAAAATGGCGTAAGATTGCGAATGCGATGGGTTATAGTCAAAATGCGAATGCAATGAATTTTCTTAGATCTAACTATGAAAAGATTCTACTTCCATATGATATATTTGAAAAAAGCAAAGCTAACCTATTGAAAACAGTTAAAAAGCTCGAAACAAAAAACGATGTAAAAGATGTTGACACAAGTAAACCATTGTTCAAAGCAATATCAGTGGAGTCAATAATAAAGACTAGCAGTGAGGTTCATACCACAGAAGATGGACCAACTACAGCTTGTAAAAGACCAAAAACTGAATCTGATGATACTGGAACTGAAACTGAATGTACAAAAAGCAAAACAGAATCTGAGGAAATAAGACGTAACAGAGAATTGAGAAGATTAGCTTGTTATGGTCCAGGCCCAAAAATGCCTGGATTGAATGATGAAGAATTTGATATAACTAAATCGAGAAAAAGACCTAGGTATGATATGGATCCATTAGCTATTTATGTATGTGCAATTTGCCAAAAAGATAATAGGGATGATCTACTTTTGATTTGTAATGGTTGTTCTGATACTTATCATACATTCTGTCTTAAACCACCATTAAATGCAGTACCAGATGGTGATTGGCGCTGCCCTTGTTGCATTGCTGAGGAAGTTCATAAACCAGCAGAAGCATTTGGATTTGCTCAAGCTGAAAGAGAATATACTCTTCAACAATTTGGAGAAATGGCTGATAAATTTAAATCAGACTATTTTGGAATGTCAGGTCACTTAGTACCTACAAGTGTAGCTGAAAAAGAATTTTGGAGAATAATTTCTTCAGTTGAAGAAGATGTGACAGTTGAGTATGGTGCTGATTTGCACTCTATGGATCATGGTTCTGGGTTTCCTACAAAGTCTTCTTTAAATCTCTATCCTAGTGATCAAGAATATGTTGATTCTGGATGGAATTTGAACAATCTACCTGTACTGGAAGGCTCTGTTTTAAAATTTATTAATGCTGATATATCTGGAATGACTGTACCATGGATGTATGTAGGTATGTGTTTTTCTGCTTTTTGTTGGCATAATGAAGATCATTGGAGTTACTCAATTAATTACTTGCATTGGGGTGAAGCAAAGACTTGGTATGGTGTACCAGGTAGTGGAGCAGAGCTGCTTGAAAATGCAATGAAAGCAGCTGCACCTGATCTTTTTAAAACGCAACCAGACTTACTACATCAATTAGTTACGATTATGAATCCTAATATATTAATGGCAGCAGGGGTACCAATTTACAGAACTGATCAACAGGCTGGGGAATTTGTTGTCACCTTCCCTAGGGCATACCATGCTGGTTTCAATCAAGGATACAATTTTGCAGAAGCTGTAAATTTTGCACCTCCTGATTGGCTTAAAATTGGTCGTGAATGTATTATACATTACAAAAATTTAAAAAGGTTTTGTGTATTTTCACATGATGAGCTTATTTGTAAAATGGCTTTGGATGGTGATCGTCTCGATTTGGAAACAGCATTAGAAACACAAAAGGAGTTAGTACGTGCAACTGAAGAGGAGGGTGCACTTCGAGCACTAATTGCAAAGAAAGGTTTGAAGAATGTATGTCGTACGGCTTTTGAGTTACTTGGAGATGATGAACGTTTGTGTGAAGTGTGTAAAACAACATGTTTCTTGTCCTCAGTCTCATGTGCTGAATGTAAAAACATGGCATGTTTGCAACATGCAAATACTTTTTGTCTTTGTGCTATGGAGAAAAAGACTCTCAATTATCGTTATGATATGGATGAGTTGCATATTATGTTACAAACAATTGATTTAAGAGTTAATAGTTTTGATAAATGGATGAGGGATGCAAAGAACATATTACTCCCCACTGCGCCAGATATTGGTAGACTTCAAAAGTTAAAAGTTTTGGTAGATGAAGCTGATGATCTTAAAATACCAAACTGTACTTTATTAACACAGTTGAAGAATGAGTATACCAAAGCCACAGAAAATGTGGAACCAATTGTAATTGAACTAGATGATGATTAAAAAACTTGGTATAAACTTTGTATTAGTACAAAAGATTTACATTTTTAATATTAGATTATATCTTTAGATTACACCTAGTCTTTAAGTTCCAGAAGGCAATGTCTTGGTGGAAAATCACTATTTACTATTCTTTTATTTATGTACCATCACAAGTAGGCATCATACTAGTGGTATATTCTAAATGTTTTGTGTATCTGATCTTAAATTTATACCTTTAAATAAGGATTGTATTGTATTCCACTTTAGGTATGCAGTATACTTGTAACACAAACATTTTTTGTATGTAAGTAAGTAAATCTGAGAACAGTTGAGTTGCTAAAAATATGACAGTGTAAATACTTGGTTTTGTGTATATTTAGAAATGATAGAGAAATTTGAATGTGTGTTTTTTAATTATTTTCTTAAGAAGTATTTTTTTTTCAATTAAGGTATTAATGTAATATCCCACCGTCACATAATAAACATTAAGACTAAGGTAACTGTATAATTGTGTACTAAATACTATGATATACCTACACCTAATACTTTTTAGTAATTAGGTATTGTAATTTTGTTACCAGATTGTATTGAAAATTATGTACGTAATTCTGTTTGCATTAACAATTTTATCTGTCTTAATAAATATAATTTAGAAATAATAAATGGGTATATTAGGGGAACAGAGGCATTAGGAAAAGCTAGAAGTTTTTATTTCTAAATACTTCTTACAAATTATTTGAGAGTTGAGAAAAATCTTTAAAGGTGACTATTATCACAATAAAATGATAATAGGAGTTACAAAAGCTTTAGAAATGAATCTAAAAAATAAACTTAGTACTTATTTTTTACTTTTTCCATAATACAAAGATTTTCGAAATCTTTTCAATTCAAAAAGTTATCCCTACAATCTTTTACACACACTTCTAAGCAATTAAGATTTCAAATCTATGTTAACATTATATCAATCAAAATGCTAAGTATTTAAATAGTAGATACCTATGATAGGTATTTATTTAATTATAAATGCTAAATATTTTCTGTAGCTAATTAATGCATAAAAACATCTTTAATGTTTTGACATTTGATTACCGAGTATTTATTAAACACGTTTAAACCATCTATGGGCAACAATTTAGGTCCAATTTGGATGGACCATTCTCTTTTTAGACAAAGCCGACCAACTTGCCGCGTTATGTGTGTTATGGGTGACAATTTTGCTATTTCATATATACTTTAAGGCTTGCCGATTCCTAATCCAAAGCAACGCTAGCGCTGCAGCTGAATATCACTATAAAGTCATTAGTTACATTTTATTAATTATATGGAAGATGACACACAGGATTTTTCTGGTAGTGATGAAAGAAATTTTCCACCTCACTACTTTTGTTCAAAAGTACACTTTTGTACCTGAGTAATTCCGTGTGTATACTGTACTGGACATTATGTTGATAATTTAGCGATTTTTATGAGGATAACATTAATGTGTAACGACCTACAATAAATAAGATCTGCTACACATTTTATTTTTTATGATCTCATTGACAGAATAATATATATTTTGAATATATCTAGTTCACTTTATTTTGTGATTAGACTTGATGCTTACTGCAATTTAGCTTTATGGTTCTAATAATTTAATCTATGTATCTATTACGTAAACAAACTCCGCATGCATGAATTAATTTCAATTTACAGTTAGGCCTAAGGAATCTATCTGTATTGAATGTTCGTATTCAGTCAGATTCCTTAGATCTGTCTCATCCGCATGTTATGGATGTGATCTAAGAATTTATGCTTTTAAAAATGTAGTGACGAGTGTCGCTACAAGACGATTGTTGTGAAAACAGGATTTTTTATAGCATAGGGGACATACTTATTTGCGGCTCACCGCCGCCCAGAAGAACCCGCAACACCATGGGAATTGCAATTGCGTTGTCGGTCTTTTAAGGAAGAATACGCTCTTTTCTTCAAGGTTTCAATATCGTTCGGGATTACTACTTTATATAGCACGTGACATTAAACGCTGCACTTGCTTGATTTAAAATGATGTTATTTTCGACTGCAGTAGTTGCGTCATGGTTGCATACTGTTGAATCAAACTGCATAATCTTACCTTAATTTATGGTGTTTAAGCAGATATTACATTGACGTAAAATTTTCAAAGGTGTAAATGTAAGATTGGTTGTTTTGTGTCTACTTTAGTTAAGAATATAGTGATTAAGATTGTCTACTCGACATCACATAAGAGCTATGATGTATAAAATTTATAATGTTTAATTTACTTAGAATTTAGCTAGTATTGCTTATTTATTGTAATTTACTTGAAATTATAATGGCAGCATCTTCCACCTCGATATATTATAAAACATAGGAATATTTTTTTTTATACTTCAATAATTTAATGTTATGTTACTATTTGACTGATATATTACTTTTAAGAATAATTAGGTGGCTAACAAATGTGAATTGACTGTCAATTATTAATTTTGAGTGGGTGATTTTTTTGCACTGTGATTAGATTTATTTTGCAATTTATTGAATTATGAAGACATTAATGAAATTAAATTTGAAGAGTATTGTTGCTTTAGGCCATTGTAATATTAAAGAGTACCTAATTAAAACATTATCTCAAAGCAGAAGTATTATTTAGAAATTGCCTACTTACACGTGTCGCTCGCAAATTTACGTGTGTAGAAACAGATGGTGAAGGGTAGGTACCCATCTTATTCCTTTTTTAGGTGTGAAATATCTATCTAAAAGTTTTCCATAGGTAGGAGGTTTACAAAATAATGAAAGTAACTATAATAAAATCATTTATTAGCGACTAATATAAAGCGATGGTAATCGACTATATTATTAGTAATGGTTTTTCGTGTTCCATCATATTCTTTACCATTTTTTATATTTAGTTTACATGAAAAATAAAAATATACGAATTATTTATGTAGTGCACTTTATTTATAAAAATATGAAAATATATTATTTAAAGTTAATTTAAATAAATACATTTGGTGTTTATCATGTGATTCAATCACAGTAAAATAAAATTAATTACAAAAATACTAAAATTAAGTACTTAATTAAGTACATATTATGCATTATACAATAGTATTAATAGAGGATATAATACTTTACACAAAATATATCATAGTAATACTTTACGTTCAGTAATGTTATCACAAATTTATATACATAGTAAGTAAACGAGTATTAAAGAGACCACATAGTTTTTAATAGGTCCCATAAAATTATTAGTACAGTCGAGATTGAGATTCAATGTAGTTATAAAAATATCAATACCATTCATCCACCTGATGAGTAGTATCCACCAACATTTTATATGATTATGTTAACATAGATGTCTTGTCATAATCAAGTACATAATATATTGATAAATTACTCCATAAAGATATAGAAGACCAAGGTATACAGTGAAGGCATTATAGTAGTATCTAAGAAGAGCAACCTTTTGTTCTCTTCCACTAGTGTGGATTTACCAAGTAGTAGATACAACCAAGTTCATACTATACAATAAGAGAACAAAAACACGGAATAATATGCCGTTGCAACGCGTTAATAAGTAATTTTGAAAAAGAAACGGTTTATAAGAATGAAATCATATATGCAATTATATAAATTAAAAGATTGCGCAGAAAAAATTTGCAGTTTAGACCGAAAGGTCAAAATACTTGTTCGGACATCGGCTCGCCGGACGGAGTCCGCGAGCAATGCTGCGGGGCCCGGCTCGAAGGGGGGTGCGAATAGCGGACCGACCGGCCCTCACTTCTGATCTCAGTATTCTCTCATTCTCTGTATTTTTTATATTTAAAATTATTACACGAATTTACAGTCCATAAATCAACCTTTTAATTTAAAAGTCCTTAGTTTAGGACCCTACAATACTGATTTCAGTTTAGATAGTAAAACCAAGATTCGTTAGTACATTATATCATAGTAACAGAGGATCTATAAATTCCCAAGTCTCAAAATAGTCTATTACTTATTCTCATCTATAACAAGCGCTTTTAATTAACGAAATAAAGTTTTTGTTATTAAGTTGTATAACAATAACTTATAAAATCTAGCTAATAAAAAAATTGTAAATTATTACCAATTAGGTAAAAATAGAAAGAATAGATTAAAAGTAGCTTACAATTAATACAAATTATGAGAATTAAAATTATTGAAGAAACTATAAGGACGGAATAATTTGGTGCATTGTGACATTTAAAGCTTAGGAAGTATTATGACAAACAATGAAGGTATGTGTTAATATTTCTGAAAAAGTATAATATACAAGTAAATTAAAGCGTGTAGTTTTTTTTAAATCACATTTTCAGATTATAGCTGATCTCCTGAGTCCCCGCTCGTAATTATGGGTCTCAGTTTTTACGTGTTCACTCTTATACGTATTTGCTTCTTGTTATTTTATTATTCAGATCAGTTGTTAATTTATTATTCAGGCAGCTGTCAGATCGTTAAGCTTAGCTCAGACAAGTGATACTATCCGCGTCTGCTTGCCAATTACAACATATTTGTTAGTTTTCATCATTAATTTTATAAGTTGGAAATCAGGGGGGACATAAAAGTAAAGCGAAGATTCTTTAAATTCTACTTGAAATTTATACGAGTATACTTATATCAAAGTAGAATCACAGTAATATATTTCATATGAACGATAGGAAGACCAATATACACTACTTATTTATAACGACCAAGGCCTCCATTGGTTTCATGTAAATTATTCGACTTAATAAAATAGATAAATGCGAAAATACCAGTCTTTAAAAAGCACATATGAGATTGTTATAAATATTAAATATAAAAATAGTATAAAAAGTTTTACAAAGTAATTATACTTATTATTTTTCGTTTTAAAAATATTTGATAACAGGCAGTGATTAGTGCTTACAGCTTACAATTACACTCGTAAAATAGCAACGTATAATTCAGAAATGAGATTTGTGGAGTTTAAAGTTATACAAGAAAATACTACTGAGAACTCTGCATCCGTTTAGTAGACAGATGAAAATTGCATGAGCTAATTTCATGTCATTTCTAATAATATATATCAATAATTAATTTATACGTATAAAATTTTTAATGTATATTACAAAATAATCTAGAATCTTATACTATTATATATGTTATTAGAAAGTAGTTAATAAAGATTCAGAGGGATATCTTAAAAAAAACCCAATAAGTCTTAATTAATAATTAGATACATAAACTGAGTTAATTGACAATTGATCTTGAGATAAATAACATGTCTAAGACAGTTTTCTGAATTAGAGGTTCGTAAATATGAAATAATTGAATTTTAATTTTTATAACTTGTGATAGAATTTATCATTACAATAACATTGTCGTAGTTTTGCAATAGTTTAGAAAAAACGAGACTCGTATAATAGTCATATAAATAGTATATAAAACAGTATAAAAGTTATTTATTTAAGAAATATTTTTAATTATATTATTACTATTAAACCCGCTTATAGAATTTTCACCTATAAAAATATACTGTTATTAAATGATTATACAATTTTAATTGTATATTAATACCTTAGGTTATTTTATTTATTTATTATTAATAATACTTTATTGCACCAACATTAAATGAACATAAAAAGAACATTTTTATATAACTCTAGTCGGAATAACCCGAAAGTAACAAAATAATAGCACCTTTGTGAAAACTTGCAAGAAATGCCTATAATAAAATGATTACAAGGGTACAAACACAGATTACAATACATAGTGTCTGTTACTTGAATAAAAAAGTCATTAAATTTGTGTAATATGCCTAATAGATGGCCCTTAATAATGGAAAGAGCAACAAGCAAATACTGATTACAATAACGATTATTTAAAATTGTAATTATTATTAATTTTAAATAAGTGTCATTATATAAACAGTCGTGCTGTTTTTTTAATCAATATTTTTAGCCTATACTAACAAATGTAAGTATTATAAATAATATAATTATTATCTGTATTACAAAATTATATCAAGAACGTAATAAGTAGCAAGTCTGTTTCTCACTCATACGAAATATTTTTTTTGGATACATATACACCTACATTTTCTAAGGTCCCATTAATTTGTCGCCGTAACTGAATCCCGCATCTCTCTCCCTTTTGTTTCAATGGGCAATGCCAAACAGGCGACAGCTGCGAGGACCGCTGCTAAAGAGTATACACCCGTCGCTATAGCTATAGAATTTTTCAGCAAAACCTGCAAATAAATTTTCATTGTTTATTATAATACTTATAATAATAATATTGAAAAAGCGTACGAATTACATAAACGATATATAAACTATAATAATATTATTATATGAGTAATGCGACGCAGTTATTTGCACTGTCCGATATCAATTGAATGTTGAAGTTGTAGATACCTAACTTATTATTTTTTTTATGGATGATAATGAAATGATGCACCCGCCTGCGCTAACGGTTTACGCTGGCGGGGCACCAGTGGAGGATGATGAGATGAGCATGAGGTCAGGTCAGTTAGCCCATCGTGACAAATTCACCAAGAATTTATCACGATGGTTTCCAGGGGGAACCACGTGGAGGTCGACCTGACATGGTATATTGCTAGCAATAGGAATTTCTAGTTCCCATTATTAACAATCCCCTTCCCCCTCCTAACTTATATTCTGCAGCTTCAGTCAGGGCAATATATTTATATTGAAATATCGAACTTTGTTTACCGAAGTACCGGTATATGTATATTAAGGTCAAGGGAGTGTCAAGCTCCTGAACCATTTTGTTTTGGAGCAGTGTACATCATTTATAGTATCTGTACTTGAAATAAGTTTAAAATCTTGAATTTACATTGTTGTACTTACTTGGGCAACGTAAGGTGTTATCATAGCACCAAGCCTGGCGACACCGCTACACGCACCCACAGCTGTCGATCTCAGTGCCGTGGGGTACACCTACGAATTACATCATTATAACCAAAATCAAACATAAGGATAATTATTCACTTATAACAATAAGCGACTCGCGTAAACGTCAGTGTACAAAAATATACATATATAGCCTATCTAATTATATAAAATAATGTACCGTTCAAATAGTTTTTTTACATAAATGGAATAGTTCCGGCTCTTACTTACTCGCCAATTATAAAAAATGCAAATTATCTTTTTAAAATAGTGTAAGCGAAATAAAATACGCTAATACAGAAAAATATACAGATAAAGAGCATTGAAATACAAATAATAGTACAAAAGTATTATGTATGTAATAATACTTGTTTGTATGTTGTAAGTAATTTATGGCGATGTTTAAATGTATATCCCATTTTATTATCTACATATAATAAAATCGCAAGAGGTGAAAACTCTATTAGTAATTAAACGATTACTTGAATGACGACCGTGCATGGCAATAGTTGTTCATGCACGGGATTTTTCTTTAAGAGGCCTTTCACATTTTTTGGCCTAAAAGCAGTGTCTTTGGGGTTCTGGTTCTAAGAAATTAAGAGTCGGATATACATTTTGATTCCTGAATTATATAGATAGATATCTAATCTTAAAAACAACATCTTTGAAATGTTAATTTTCTCTTTGTTAGTCTTCCTAATTTCTAAAATAGTTTATTCAAAAACGCTAAATGACAGAAGTTTGGGGTCGTCGTTCATTAATAAACAAACATAAATTGATATGATATCTTTACTAAAACTTGATAATTACTTTATAAATTGAGACAGCATCGTCCTTTTTTTCATTTTCAACTTAAATATCTAAAAAATTGATCATAATTAAACCCGAAATTTCAACAAAACTTTGCCATAATCATTTCTAATTTTCTCATAAATACAACGAAATTTTTGCATAAAAAAAACATAATAATAAAGTTAATATACTTGTAAATTAGAAATATGAAAACAATATATAGGTTTCTAAGAAAAATATAAACAATAATAATAATTTAAAGTTGTATAAATTCCTTTGCGCCAAAAGTAAATTCTCAGTGCTGCGCTAGCGCTCGTCGAGGTAGTACCTATGCCATTTTTTACAACACCGCTAAGATAAGACATTCGTCAGTGAACATTAGTATAGAGCGACTAAACAATTTTGATAATTTAAGTAATATTTAATTAATTTTGCTAATATATACTTATTTCTACGAATATTAATTTAAAGTTGTTGTTAAATATATATATATATATATATATATATAAACACCTCTTTGGGCACTTTGTTGATCACGCCACAACCTACACACTTGCCGATTCCACCTTTTGCACTGAATAACTTGACTCCTATCGCGTATATCTCAGGCGGTATGGCAACGTCGCATTCTATTTTGCGATGCGGCCATATATATTCGTCGATAGTACGATATACTCGACACTTTTTTTACTAATAATTCGTGACTGAATGGCTCCGAACGGCTAAATTTTTGGTATACACAAAGACTTTTTGGCTCTGAATATATTCCAAAAATCAATTAATTATGTTGATCACTTTATATACTCGTCCTTACTGCGATACTTACTTTCATCCGAATATATATAGATACCGTAACGGTCTATCAATTATGAATTTATTAATTTACTAATGTAGATATTTTATATTCGCAATGCTCCATACATGCAAGCTCCAGCAACGGTGGAGGCAGGGTCCCCCTGCACCGTACACCGCACCCCGCGCACACAAACAAATTAGATATTTTTTGAATACACAAAGACTTTTTGGCTCTGTATATATATTTCAAAAATCAGTTAATTGTGTTGATCACTTTATATACTGGTCCTTACTGCGATACTTATTTTAATCCGAATATATATAGATACCGTAACGGTCTATCAATTATGAATTTACTAATCTAGATATTTTATATTCGCAATGCTCCATACATGCAAGCTCCAGCAACGGTGGAGGCAGGGGGAGCACCGTACACCGCACCCCGCGCACACAAACAAATTAGAATAAATTAAATTCATAAGATTATTTATATATTTCGACTGCCTCGGTGGTCACACCGCTTTACATCCGATGGTCGCGGGTTCGATTTCTCGCACGGTGCAAACAATTGTACTCATCGGTCATCGATTGTTTTCATCGGTCTGGGTGTTTTATATGTATATTATATATGTATTTACAAAATAAAAATATCTATATCAGTTCAGTATCAGTCTGTGTTAATTGTCCAGGGCTATTTATTATATATTTATAAACGGTTATCTTTTTCCATCCCACCGCTCGCTATCGACAGTGAATTCATAGAAATGTCACTCTAAAAACAATAATAGTTTTGTTTTTGTATTTCAAATACTAAATGCAAAATAGGTATTTTCAAAATACTTTTTCAAAATAAAGTACCTTTTGAATTTTTGTCCAAACCTCAGATATTTTATTTATTTCAGGTATATCAATCATTACATAGTAATATAAAAACAAAGTCGCTGTCGCATCTAACAGTACATAAACAAAGAAAGAAGACTTTTTGGCTCTGATACCGTAACGGCCTATGAATTATGAATTTATTATACCTAATCTAGATATTTTATATTCGCAATGCTACGTACATTGTAATATCCGCCTCCATTCATTGTAACGGTGGAGGGACTAAATAGTTGAATAAAACTGAATAAGCAGTTGCTCCACTCTATAGGTACTGCGTCGTCGTCGTATGCTGTTCATTTTTTCACTCGTTTTGGCGCCAAGAGAGGGTCACATAGTCGTGGTCAAGTTAAGAACTTATAATTTAATTTTGATAACAATAGATACAAGTAAAAAGTAGGTATTATATTAATGTACATAAGTACTGTACTTAAAAATATTTATTCTATATTGTACATTTGAAAAACTTATCACTTAAGGACTTGTGTGACATATACACGTACATACTGCCATTTTCTCTTAAAGACATCCAGAGAAGCTTTAGATTTATCAAATACGCGGGGTGCACCGACCTTTGACCTTATAACACCTGATTCGCGCGTAACGAATTACATTGCTACTTTTTGGTATTTTATAGTGGATATTTCACTATAAAATATTATTATTTCTTTAGATTATGACATAATAGCATAGTTTACATGATTTTAAGGGAAACATACGATAAAAAAAATTCCCGTAAAATGTAAAAGATAAAAAATGGTTATTGTTGGTTATCCTTGAGAGATAGACATATACCATCACGGACTTTTTTGTTGACCTTATTTTGATACATCTCAAAGCACTAGACAATACGCATTTTCATTAAACAGTATTGTATTTTTTTTATTTATTTAACTTTAATGCACAAAAAAATTTGTACATGTGGCGGACTTAATATCTTGCCGCGTTATTTACCAGGCAACCATGAGTGGTGCAGCGAAAGATTATTGGCGGTGCACTAATATAAATAAGAAATGTCAAAAAAAGATTTATAAAGATAATAAAGATAAGCAAAATATACATTTCTATAAAAAAATAACAATATACATATATAAATATATAACCCATAAATGTATAAATAAATACATAATGATCCGATAATCAAATTATAAGTACAGTCTCAAATTGAAAGTAAGAAAAACAGAAAATATAGAGAGAACTATAGGGATATAACAGAAAGATGTGAAAAAAGGAGGACAGTAAAAAAGTTACAAATTTAAATAATGTTCCCGCAATTTCTGTTTAAATGAATTTATTACATTATTATATATATTAGGCATACGACTAGCCTTATGCTGTTACTTTTTTTTTAATCTATACATCTATACATGTAAATAAAATTGGAGTGTCTGTTTGTAATATTGAAATAACCGTTTTTTACTACCTGCATATGAATATAAATACGGTACATACACCAAAATAACATATTTTACAAGTTTTGTCTGTCCGTCTGTTTGTTCCGGCTAATCTCTGAAATAGCTGGACCGATTTTGACGGGACTTTTTTTTGGCAAGTAGCTGATGTAATAAGGAGTAACTTACGCTACTGTTATTTTAGAAAAATAAAATAAAATTTCACGCGGACGAAGTCGCTGGGGCCAGCTAGTCTATAGATATACCGAGATTTAATATTTAAGTTGCTATTATGTTGTTGACAAAATTTTACTGTAATGTTACTATTACGTTATCCTACACAATTTGTATTATTTTGGATGAATAAATAAATAAATAAATAATAATCTATACATCTATACATATAAATAAAATTGGAGTGTCTGTTTGTAATACTGAAATAACCGTTTTTTACTACATGCATATGAATATATATAAGGTACATATACCAAAATAACAATTTTTATAATTTTTGTCTGTCTGTCTGTCGGTCTGTTTGTTCCGGCTAATCTCTGAAATGGCTGGACCGATTTTGACGGTACTTTTTTTGGCAGGTAGCTGATTTATAAGGAGTAACTTAGGTTACTTTTATTTTAGAAAAATAAAGTTAAATTCCACGCGGACGAAGTCGCGGGAACAGCTTGTTTTTAATAAAAACGGTTTATTTGATAGAAAAAACATCTTTTTTGTGGTACTTGAGAATGTTGAAGCCTGTTGTTTGTAATATTGAAATAACCGTTTTTTACTACTTGCATATGAATATAAATACGGTACATACACCAAAATAACATATTTTACAATTTTTGTCCGTCTGTCTGTTTGTTCCAGCTAATCTCTGTAATGGCTGGACCGATTTTGACGGGACTTTTTTTGGCAGGTAGCTGATGTAATAAGGAGTAACTTAGGCTACTTTTATTTTAGAAAAATAAAGTTAAAAACCACGTGGACGAAGTCGCGGGAACAGCTACTGTATAATATATTAGAGATACCAACGTGTTTTTTTATTGATGACTAGCTGTACACGGGATTTCGTCCGTGTGGAATTTCACTTTATTTTTCTAAAATATAAGAAGTTAAATTCCACGCGGACGAAGTCGCGTGTACAGCTAGTTGTCGGTAGTCTAGCGATTTAGCACACTGCTTTGATTCCTG